CTTCCTGGCACCTTCAGGAGACAGTTGGGGCTCAGGGTGCAGGGCAGCAGGGCCCCTCTTGTCACTGCGCCCGCTGGTGTCTGCTTCTTCTGGGACAGTGTCTGGTGTGTGTATTAGATTGGCCGCTTCTGGGCCTCCCTGGTGGCGCAGGTGGTTGAGCGCCGCACTGTGAAGCTGTCCGCAGCCTCTGCAGCGCGGGTTCGATCCCGGCCGGCCGGCGAGGGTCCCACATGGCACAGCAGACCTCTCCTGTCTCGCAGTGTATTTCGCCAGTCTGCCTGTTCTGTTCCCCGCTCTGTCCCTGGTGACTCCTCTCACGCTCCCGTGCATCTGGCCTGTACCCCGGTTCTTGTATAAATCTTTAAAAAAAAATAAAATTATAAAAAAAATAAATTGGCCGCTTCTAAGTCAAGAATGACACCTTTGCGGAGAGAATTTGAGAAAGCATTTTACATGAGGTCATTTCCTGTGCCCTCACCTCTCACCTCGTCTGGCGCGATAACCCACCCTGCCTCTGCCTGCACCCCGCTCCCTGGTGCCGCTGCTGGGAGAATGCGAGGGAAGCACCTTCTCTCCACTGCCGTGGACTGAGACAGACGCTGCACCTCACTGGGGAGCCTCAGCCCACATCTTTGCAGTGCAGTGTTTTCCTCGAACCTGTCCAGTGGTACAGCCGTCACCCTAATAAGTTTAGAACCCTTCACCCCTGGCCCCAAACACCCCTTTATCTCCTTTCTGTCTTCATCAGTATTTGCCTTTTCTGGCCATTTCCCATAATGGAGCTGCACGGAATGTGGTCTCTCGCGACCGGCTTCTGTCCCCGAGCAGGTGTTTCGGGGTCGGGACGTGCTGCAGGGCTGGTTCCTCCCCTCTCTGCCGAGCCGCCTCCCAGGTGAGCGCCCCGCCTGTCCCGGAGCCGGGCGCGGTGGTTTCCACGGTGCCTGCTGCGTGTCCGTGTGTGGCCGCGTGTCCGTGTGTGGCTGGGTGTGCTGCTTCTCTGGGGGTCGGCGCTGGGTCATACAGTGGTTTGAGGTTTGACTTTTTTTTGACTTATAAAAAAATCTTTATTGCGATGTAATTCACCTGTTACATAATTAACCTATCGAGAATATGCAGTTCAGTGGTTTTAGAGGTTTGACGTTTGAAAACGGCTGTCAGTGCTGGCGCCGTGGTGTGTGCCCGTCTGGCCAGCACTTCGCGGTGTCGGCAGTCACCCCCGCCCCAGGGGCCCCGGGGTTGCCCATCAGTGTGGCAGCCTGGAGGGGAGCGGCCTCGGAGCAAAGCTGGGCCATGTGCATTACCCTTTGCGAGGCCTCTTAGTGTCATGGCCCTTGACCCGCCCTCCTGTGGAAGAGAGGGGACACCCCGGGGCTGGGGTGCGGCCGTGGGAACCAGCAGGTCCAGTGGGCCGAGGCCGAGCCAGGGTAAACAGCCCGTGCTGCCGTCTATTGGTGGATAGTGGCGGTGCTGGGGTGTGGGGAATGCTCTTTCTTACGCCCGTTCCTACCCCTTCCTCTGCTCCCTCTGCCCCCTGGACACCCGTGTCCCCTCGCTTGCGTTTCCCTCTGGTGTCTTCCAGGAGTTGTGTCGGGTTGGGGGGCAGGGCAAAGTCTGTCCTTACTGTGGATTTCTCAGTAACCATGAGATTCTTGCAGCTGGGTGCGGGGGACACTGAGAAGGAAGGGAAGCCGGGTGCCCGGGGCGGGGGGACACGGAGGTGATGGCCAGGTGAGCCTCTGAAGGCTGCGGGGCTTCCAGGGACGGGGCTGTGGTATTACAGGCCAGAGCTGGTTTGAGTTTTGGAAAAGTCCGAGTTCCCCGCCTCTTGGTTACTGCACGTGCTTTCAAAACAGATAGAAGGGGTGAGCTCACCTTGGGGAACTGGAGGTGGCAGGACAGCTGCTGGGCCCAGGCGGCTCTTCTCGCGCCAGGCACCAGGCCCAGCGTGGCTTTGAAGGCCTGCCTGGTGCTGGGGATGACCCCGGTGCAGACAGAGCCGGCCTGAACCCCACCCCTGCGGGTTCGTGTTCCTGGCTGAGTTCTGGGGCTTCTGCTTCCCCTGTCCTGGGGAGGAACGCCCAGGGAACTGGCTTCACCTGGAGCCTTCCCTGGCGAGCGTGGGCGGGGCGGGGCAACGGGCTGCTCCAGGTTACTACTTAGGGCAAGTTCAGGGTGTGCTGTGCCTTGCTTGTTGCTTGCCTTTGGTTTTAATAGAGGAGGTGCCACGATTCATTTCTCAGTGCGAGCTGTGTAATTTATTTGGAATGCATTGTGTGTTTTTCATCAAGTGCTTGCTCAGCCAGGCCTTCCTGTGTCCTGTCTTTGCCTTGGCGCCTGGGCCCCAGCCCCCATCTTTCAGCCACTGAAGAAAGTGCACCCAGCCACCCCTGGAGAGCCTGGTGAGGGCTTGGGGCCACAGAAGCTATATCTGGGTGGGATCGTGCGACCCATGGGCCTGGCGCTGTCCCCAGGCAGTATGGCTGGGAGCTGGACACCCCACAGGGCGCTGGGAGCAGGGGTGTAGCCACAGCCCCGGGGGGGCTCCTGTTCAGTCTGAGCCTAGAAAGAACTGGACTCGTGTGGGGGGGCCTCTCCAGGTGACGCCTGCCCAGACCCTCTCCCCGCACACCCAGGAGCACATGTGCAGGAGGCGCCGGCGTGGAGTGTCAGCCCCGCTCCCCGGGCAGCGTGGCTTCTCCCTGGTCTCTGACCTCACAGAGCTTCGGATGCCGGTTTCCCCATGTACCGAGAGGGGCAGGGGTGTGGGGGCTTGTAGAGCCAGCAAGGCACGGAGCAGGTTCTCTGTGATCCGGGCAGACGGGTAGAGAGTCCTGGAGCCCTCGGCAGCTTTTCAGGCTTTTATTGAGCTTTTTCCACCATTTGTAGTGTGGCACCCAGGTACACGGCAGGCAGGGGGCCCAGGAGGCTGGCAGGCTTCCAGCCCCTGGCGAATCTTCACTCTTTCTGGCCTCTGGCGTTCTGTCGCGGCCTCTTCTCTGCTTCTCCTTTGCTGCTCTGCTGGCTCTGCGCCTCTCCCGGCGTCCCCGTGATGCCGCCCATATAAGCCCAGCCTCTCAGCCCAGGTGCACCCACTTACGCGTGCCCACACCCTATTCCAGGAGCCCGCCACCAGGCATGCGTGTAGGACCGCAGGGATCCGTCATTAATGCTATTGGCAGGAGGGCGGAAAAGCCTGATACTTTTCACTTACCCTCCTGGGCTGTTTGTTGGATACCCAGGCCAGAAACAATAGATTGGCCCAGGATTGCGGTCATTTTCCTCCCATTTTCAGTTTTTTTTTTTTTTTTTTTAATAAACAATTAGCTAGAGTAGGTCTGCAGGGGCAGGAACAGGCCACAGGGCAGGTTTTCTGACCCAGCAGACCGGGTGAAGGAGGAGTCAGAGTCCTCAGTGGCTTCTGCAGGTCTTTTATTTAGATTTACCAGGCATAGGGCAGGCAGGGGTGCTGGGGGGCCCGGAGGCTGGCAGCCCCCAGCAAATCCTCACTCTCTCTGGGCTTTCTGGTGTGCTCTCGGCTTCTGCTCGTTCTTGGCTTCTGCTGGCGTCCCCGTGACGCCGCCCTTGTAAACTCCGTCTCTCAGCCCAGGTGTGCCCACTTCAGGTGCCGCCATCAGGCATGCGTTCAGGACCCCAGGGTTCCCTCATCCGTCCTAATGGCAGGAGGGCAGGAAAGCCGGATACTTTTCACCCTACAAGGCCCTATTTCAACCATCCACAGAAAGTTGACTTGGGCTGCTGGTACTGGGATCCCTGACGTTGCAGAACAGTGTTAGGAAGACTCGTAGACGGTTGGCATCGTAGGCCTAGACATTGAAGCGCCTTGGATTTAACGCTTTGTTCTATTTTTGTCAGATGTTGTAGAACAGTTACTCAGACGGGCTGAGATGCGCGTCTGCTGTGGGGGAGATGATGCGTTCCCTTAATTGTGAACAGCTAAAGCCGCGCGGGTAGACGGGTTGCCCGCCGCCCTCCGCAGAGGGGGTGTTCGCCCCGGGACAGGTGGGGGGACTCTCCTCCAGGTGATTAGGCTGTTTGCCGTCCTGGGGAGGAAAACCTGTGTCTGTAAACCTGTCGCTTAGGCTCAGATTCGAACACAGTCTTTCATCAGGAAGCGTGGAATGAGGCTTTAGTGTATTTGAGGATTGGGAAAGATCTGTCAATTCTTTGAGCTAACTGGAGACAGTTGCTGTTTGAGGACATGCACCTGATGAATAAAGGTTTGGAGATCATAAACCAGCCCCAAATGAACTAGTGTATACGCACACCCCCTTGGGGACGAGAGGCAGAGAACTGGTGTGCGGGGCCGGTTACTAGGTGGCTGCAGTTGGGGGGCAGGGAAGGATGGCAAAGGTTCCCCCGGGGCACAGCATCAGCCTCGTCCCTGTGCTCTGGGAGAGCGAGGCCCTGTGGCTGGGGTGCCGCGTGCAGCTCCTGGGATCTGGCTTCTCTTGGTTCAGAGAGCTGTGAACAGAAAAGACATCCTTGGCGCCCCCGCCCCCCATTGTGGCCAGAGAGGAGCGAGGTAACTGGTGTGAGGATCCTGTTTCAGGTGGGAAAGCACGAAGCGAAGCAGGAGCTGCTCCCTGTGGTTCCCAGGCAGCCTGGTACCCCTGTCAGGGCCTTGGGTGGACAGCCCCTGCCTCTAGGCATCACTTGAGGTCCATGGCCTGTTGGTGAATTGGACAGTTGTTCTGGGAAGAGGAAGACTCAGTCGTTGTGTCCGGCACTGGGGTGTAGAGGTGAGGAGACGTGGTCCTCAGTGCCCTCGGCCTGCCACCCAGCAGAGAGGTCAGCGGCGGGGGCTGGCCAGTTCAGCAGGGCGGTGGGGCCTTCCGGTGCAGCATGTTGACCTTGTGAGTGAGAATTCAAGAGGCAGGACTGGAGCAGACAGTATCAGTAGTTGCCACATACGCAGTAATTTGAGCTGTTTTCCCTCCAGTGTCTGTTCATCAGCATCAGTTGGGTTTTTGAAAAATGTGGGTTATGCCCCACCCATGCATCTGCAAGCGTTTTGGGGTGACTGCTTAAGTGTCCCAGGTGTTTCTGATCAGCCAGGATGGGGGGAACGTGGTCCCAGACCATGGAACTGTCTGGTGAGTGACGACCCTGGGAGTGGAGCAGAGAGAGGGTGGGTGGTTGAGCCTGGAACTGGACCTCGGTTCCCTTGAAGACCGGGGCTTGGGCAGCACAGCTGGGGTGGCCTGGAGACTCTGGGCCTCAGGGACTGAAGATGAGCAACAGCAGGTTGCAGATGCTGAGGCTGGGCACTCAGGAGGGGCTGGTGTGGCTGCCGAGGAGCTGCTGCAGGGCGCTGCCCATTTGGTCCGGGGCTTTAGGCCACTGCAGAGGCCGGTGAGAGGCTGGACAGGGGGCAGGTCTCGTGCTGTCTGGGCTCTTTGAAGGAGGAGGTGGCCTGGGTGCACGCAGCGGGTGCTTTTGTGTGTTCAGATGGGGGAGAACTGAGCACACTGTCCCAGGCAGGGGCAGCTTGGACGAGGGGCCCAGAAGAGATTATTGATAAAGTCACATCCCAAAGCACAGGATGGATTCAAAAGCCCAGTTTTTAGGACTGACCTTGAAGAAGAGGAGGGTGCCTCCCTCCTCCTGCGCAGGGAGGTCAGGACACAGGGTATGAAAGGCCTTTCTGAGCCTGCTGAAGACGCACGTGGTCTTTTCTTCCGTGTGCTTTTGTCCCGGGAGCCCCAGGGCGCATTTCTCACTGTGGATAGACCACAGCCGGCCTGGCACTCAGCCCTTGCTCTGTTCATTTTTGCTGACAGTGTTGGTGGGGTGCCTGTGTGCGGTCTCAGAACAGGGCCTCTTGCATTGCTGGGCCCCCAACTCAGCCAGGTATCTGGGCTTTCTGGGATTTGTGCTGGGGTGCCCCAGCACGACCCAAATATCGCAGTGGCTGACAGTCCCAGCGTGTAGGGCGCTGTTTTGGGCTGGTGGTTTCCGCCCTGAGAGCAAGTCAGTGCTCGCCTGGGTTAGCCCCCGGCTCGGGACGCAGGACGCTGCCCGCGGCACAGCTCGTGACTGTGGGCCTTCACGGACCGGCGGGTCCCTCCTCTTCCTGCACCTGCTGTTCCTCCTCCTTTTCAACTGTCTTCCTCCTGCCTCTACTCGCTCCTTTTCCTGTAACAATTTCAGTTTCTTTTTTTTTACAAGAATCGGGGTATAGGCAGAGGCGCAGGAGGGTGAGAGGATTCACCAGAGACAGAGCGGGGAACAGAACAGGCAGACAGACCAAAAGCACTGCTGAGGAGAGCAGCGGGCGCAACAGGAGAGGTCTCCCGCGCCATGTGGGGATCTCCCTGGCCAGCTGGGAATGGAACCCGCACTGCAGAGGCTGCAGGCAGCTTCATAGTGCTGCGCTCAACCTGCTGCACCACCCGGGAGGCCCACAATTTCAGTTTCTTCGTGGAACTAGCAGACTTTGTGGACTGGCCCCTTGTCTGTGGGGTCAGCGGCTTCCAGGCTTCTCACTCTGGGGGTTCCAGGCGGAGCCTTTGGCCGCAGCTCCTCCCAGTGAGATGGGGAGCATCCTCAGCTGGCTCATTGTTGGTGTCATCCCTTGGTATTTGTGAGCAGCACCCCAAACACTTCTGGAGGCCCCTGAGGATTGTCAGTTTGCGACCGAGAGGTACCCAGGGACCCCAAACTGAAGGGATGCTGTCTGTATACAAGGACAAAGGAAGCAGGCTGTGAGTGTGGAAGGTGTTTAGTAGCACTGTTGAGGGGGCCTAGTAGGTAGAGCAGAGAAGAGAAAGGATTTCAAACAATAGATTCCCTGTAGAACCCTCAAAATTACGCCTCGTAGGCAAGTGACCAGACAAGCAGGCTTGGTCTGCAGCGGGGCCACTCAGTCCTGAAAGCTTGCCACACGTCTAAGCACCTTCTGGTGGAGAACCACAAGAAAGGGGCTTGGGGGGAGGGTCCCAGATAGCTGGGACAAAATTAAAAAATATACCACAGAATCCACTGCAAGGTCAAGACTACAGCTTCCGTTGTGTCTGCCAAGGACCGGAGCAGCCTCCCATGTGTCTTTTTGCCAAGTGCCACTACCTGTCTTCTCCACTTGGCTCCTCCAGTCCCCTCTTCACGTGTGTCTCCCCTCTATATATCCATCGTGCTCCTGCCCAGCTGTGCTCTCCACGCAGGAGGTTGGGTTCATAGCCGGCTGGCACTTGCAATCCAAGGGGGCTGCCTGTAAGTGGGGGGAGAAAATGGCGGCTCCCCTTCAAGGAGCTGGGTCTGTACTAGGATGGCAGGTGAGGCCCACTGAGAATTCAGGGTTCACTCACTTCTCTGGTCAGGGAGCCCTTAGGATGGGGGGCCCTCCGGTGTGTGCTGTTGCATGTTCAACTGCTCAGGTTGGTGGTCAAGAACTTGCAGAAGTTGCTAAGACATTGACACGACGAAAGGAGGCAGCTGTGGCTTCTCTGGGACCTGGTTGGAATTTGGGCCAAGACAGTGGCTCTCGTTAAGATGCTTAGGACAGTATTTGTTGGACTTTAAAACAGGGCCTGCTAAGGAAGTTAAGTTTGGGGTATAATTTCCCCCTGTTAAAAGAGAGGTAGCTGGTTAACCTATGTTTTAGTATAGACCATCTTAAATTTAGAAAATTTGTGGGGGAGGAGAGAATAGGTAGATTTATTACTTGGCTGGATTAGAGTGATTTTTCTGCTGGAAAATTAATATCTTTTATAACACATTCAAATAGATGTTTTGATATTTGTTTACTTTCACAAATGCTGGCGCCTTACCCGGTTTGTATATCCCAGCTGGGTCCTTCCTCTTGTTCTGTCACTTGCTGTGTTTTGTGGTCTAAAGCACACACGAAGGGGAGCCTTGGAAGTCTCTCCATCCTGCCCAAAGCCCCAGGCTCACTGCCAGCCTGCCCCTAGGTGGGAGCACACCAGCCTTAGCATACCATGGTCTGGACCCTAAGACAGGGAATAACAGTCACGGTGCTGGATTATTGAAGTAAACCTCCTTTTTCTCTCTCCTACAGAACCTGAAAGCGGATCCGGAAGAGCTTTTTACAAAACTGGAGAAAATTGGAAAGGGCTCTTTTGGCGAGGTGTTCAAAGGCATTGACAATCGGACTCAGAAAGTGGTTGCCATAAAAATCATTGATCTGGAAGAAGCTGAGGATGAGATAGAGGACATCCAGCAAGAAATCACAGTGCTGAGTCAGTGTGACAGCCCATACGTGACCAAATATTACGGGTCCTACCTGAAGGTAAGGCTTAAAAATAACGCCGTGAATTTCCATGATGCGGCACTTGAAGGAGAAGGCTTCAGTGCACGGCAGGTTTTCAAAAGGAAGGAGAAAGGTTTTGACCTTTGCAATCAATAGAACCTGGCTTTGATGGTTTCCCTCATCTGAAAGGTCACCTACAGAAATTTATTTTTGGTAAAAGTATTTGATGTTGAAATTCCATTTTAAATAGGAGTGTCTCCGATAGGACATTGTCATCAAAAATGCATTTAAGTTGTTGTAAAGATAACCGTTAGTCACCTAGTCTTGACATGAGTTATGAAAACTCACGCCAACCTAAGAATATTGATCTTTGGATATTTTGAGTCTTCAAATATAGCTTAATTTAATGCTCTTAAAAAAAAAACAAACAAACTGCTGGCAAGAATTGATGTTGATTTTTGAGAGTAGTTTGCCTACATTTGATTTTTAAGAATTCTAGCTAAGTAAATGATTGTTGAAGTGAAATACTAGTTACTGTACAAACTACAAATTGTCTGTGATCTTCACCAGTTCCTTAAGAGGAAAGAATAGTATTAAAAAGGGTTTTCCATCCCTTCCTGAACCATGCCACCATTGTTGATGCAGGTTGAACATGTTATTCCACTGACACTATGCCTGTGTTTCAATTTCCTTGACATACACTTGTTTCACTGAACTTAGAAATGCGATATCTTTCAAAATGAACATTTAGAAATCATAAGACTTGGTTAAAAAAAAAATGAAATAATTCTTGTGGAAACAAAAGCATCATAGGTAAAAAGAACTATTTATTTTCCTGAGGGAGGCAGCAGTCAGCCCAGATCTTGTAAGAGTGGGGCCCTTCCTGTCCTGGGTGTCTGCTCTAAATTCTCGGCATTGCAGCTCAAAACCCACTGTCCTGTCAAGGGGACAATGCAGATGTTGATCTTGCGGAAATGTGACAGTAGTGGAGGGATGGGAAACTTGAGAACCGTAGAGTCACTAAAATGGATATTTGGAGGACATAAAAATTGTGTCGGGTGCAAAAAGAAACTACCCCCACCCCTCTGGGTTCCTTCTTGGGCTGGGCGGGTCATTAAAACAGCATCAGACAGGTTAGCAAGGAAAACAATGACTCTAGTAACCTCGGGTACTCACATGGTTGTAAATTCCGAAGAATAATGAAGGGGACCAGGAATATTTATCCTGGGTTTTAGAACCTGGGGTGTCAAGGATGAGATGGAAGACTCCACATGACAGACAGATAAGAAGAGGCTGACCTTATCCTTCCTCTGAGAGTAAAGGTGAGGTTCTTAGAGAGGACATGTTCACTGATAAACCTGGAATTGGATGGAGCCCCCAAACTACATCCTCCCAGCTCGTCAAAGGGGAAGCAGTGATTGATGCTTATCCAGTTAAGAAGAAGGCAGACACTTAAGACTTGGTCTCCAGTAAGGGAGGGATGAAGGACCTGGGCAAAAACTGCAGCTTCTCCTCGCCTTCAGGGCTCACTGCTCTCTAGCAAAACACTACACGCCCTTTAAGTTATGGTATTGACCTCCAGCTCCCACCAAGACACAGGAGGCCGAGCTGTACCACTGAGAAAAGTCTGTCTGACTTTTGGTGGAGGCGACCCCGCAGGTGGTAATTCCTTTCCCCCTTTGCTCATCGATGAACCGTGGCAACCTCTCATGGATCACACACAGCATTTTGCAATGGAAAGTCTTAAATTCCGGAGTCAGATGTCTTGCGCTGGGATCTTGGTTGTCTGGCTCTGTCGTTGCCTCGAATCCTTTGCGAGGATTTTAAACCTTCCCTCCTCCCTTATTTGCAAAATAGGAAATTATGGTGCCGACTTCCTTGTTGCAGAGCTTAAGTGGAACGAAGTAGGTGAAAGTAGCCCGGCAAGTAGTAGGTACTTAAAGTGTTAATTTCTTTTATTAATTGACTGAATTCATTCCTACTTCGTCCCTGTCATTACTTTGCAAGGAAGGACATTATCCGTTGAGATCCAGCAAGCACAGCGGAGCAGGAGAGGGACATGCCAGCAGTGACAGCTGCTGCTGCTGGGGTGGGGGTATGTGTGTCCACTTTGGGTCTTGATTGAGCAAAAAGGGAAGTGCCCCGCCTGTCCTGTTGTCTTCATACGGCGAGTGGACACATGCCACTTCCGTAGGGGAAAGCGGAGCTCGAGTTCTACCGAGGGAAGACAGACAGCTGAGGAAGCTGGGCTCGCGCCCCGCCTGCCCATCACTCACTGTCCTCTGCGAGGCGACTCCATGACAGCTTCCTAGTCCCCCCGAGATGGCCTCCTAGTCCCTCTGAGACAGCTTCCTGTGCTGGCGTCGCGCTTTCCAGTGAATTATGGTGCCCTTGGTAAAGGAAGTGTGGTGATTTATACCAGCTAATATTTTATGGTGGGGATTAATGGTGGTTCACAAGTAACCTTCCTCAACCCCAGTCCTAGTTCCGCCGGAGCAGACCGCTCCAGAGACTCCAAATCCTCCTGCCGCTGAGCAGGAGTGGCCCACAGAATCCATGGTGTCAGCTGCTGGAAAACTCTCCTTACTTCCCGACGGCTCAGACTCTGCGGGCGTGTGTCCCTTGCTCACTGCTCCCCAGCCCTGAGGGCCATTTTCTCCCAGTAGGGACTCGGGAGCCAGCTTGCTTTTCTCTCCTGCGCCTCCTCCTTGCACCCTCTCATGGCTGTGTCTGTCTGTCCTATGTCTTGGTGGGGGCAAAAAGTGAGGCTCCTGGGCCAATTTCCATGAGCCCAGGCTGCCCCTGATACGGAGCCCACGGTCCTCATGGCCAGAACTCGGTCATTGCACACCTGGCCGGGAGGCCGAGCCCCGTGTTGGCCCCGAGCTCCATGGCAGAGGGTGTGGGTTCCGCTCAGCCAGCCGTGCCGTCCCGATGCCGCTTGGTCTGTGGGACCCCTGGCCTGGCTTCTCTACCGCCTGCCCTCTGTGGTGAAGACCACCGATGGTTTTGTCTACAGTGCCTGACAGGCGTTGTCCATGTGACCGTCTCCAGAAGGTTGGGTGGTCCCCACCATTGTGATGAAAGGTCACCCTGAATTTATTAGTTACAGCAAAGATGGTTCTAACTGGCCAGAAAACTCACCAGGTGGCTCTTGCCCAAGGACATGAACAGTTACATGTAGTCAGGACAGCCCAGACCGTGATCCCAGCTGCCTGTTCTTGTCTAATGGAGTTTCCTGGCGCCCTTGGCCTGGAAGGAGCGGCCTGCGTGCTGAGCCAGGGCTGATCCTCTCTGTGCGAGGATGTGCGGTCAGTCACGGAGTCCCTCAGTCCAGGGGGGTCGGAGGGAGGAGACTGTGAGGCCACGGGGCTTTGGCACGAAGATGAGAATGACTCTGCTTTGTGTGGTTTTCATTGCCCTTTCAAAATGGCCTGTAAGGTTTGATGTTGAGTGGTGATGGAAAAGGGCTGAGGGTTTCACCTTATTTGAGGGACTTTTCCAGAAGGGAGGGGCAAAGAGGAAATGAGCAGAAATGGGTTCTACATCTCTGGGTTTGTGTTAGAAGGCCTCGTAATTTTGTTTTGGTTTTGATGACCTAGTCTAGAAAAAGTGATTAAAAACAATCGGTATGTGGTCTAAGTAAAATGTCGCTGAAGGTGGATTACAGACTTGTTTTGTAGCATGTTCCCTCTCTCCCCCATCTAAAAACTAAGACAGCAATGATTTAGGGTGGAGCTGGGGTGCGGGGGGGAGACACAACATTTGTTTATCCTGGTGAATCTGAGACTTGAAGAATTTTATTCGTTGTTTGTTAGTCATTTAAGTCTTGGGAAATCAAACCAGCTGGAATATTTAACCCAAAGCATCCATATCCTAAACATCCCACTGGAGTTTTCTGCCTCACAAACATCACCTGCAAGGTCCTAATAAAACCGCGAGGGTGCGGGCTGTGTGCAGAGAAGAGAACTTTGGGGATTTATGTTTCTGTTGGCAGCGAAGGCCTCGCAAGGCCTGGCGTGGTCAGGCGGTGTCCAGAGGATTCTGCGCCCGCTTGTTCTTTATGCTGCATCCATTCACAAGCGCTGCTTATTCTCCCTCTCTCGTGTGTGTGAGTATGGGAGGTTGCCAGCCTGTTAGAATCTCCACTTTGAGATTCACTTAGAGTTACAACCAGGATTTAATTCAGGTTCTTAGTACAAGCACTTAACTGGGTGTTTCTAGGCCTACCGACTTCCTCAAGGACAGGTGCAGGCGACTCTGTTGGGCTTGCCCTGTGACTTTAAAGACTGAGCTCACAGGTGCCTGATGTGGGAGATTGCTAGCAAATGATAATTTAAAAGGCATTTATTTAAACGGGACAAGTTATCTGCACCAAATGAGTCACAACTCATGCGTCTTAAAGGCAGATTATTGAAATGCCAAACATGAGGTTTGTCATTTTCTCGTACAGTTTTGTTATTTTCGGACATCAGGCCAGCTTTTCCAGAGCAAATTGGGGCCAGGCAGGACACCAGACAGGGCTGTTCTGGTGGTTTCTGTCATGGCATCAGTTTTCAGGACAGCAACCCACGGAGCCTCCCGGCTTCCGTGTACGTGTTCTTCAGTTCCTAGAACTCTGCGGGGTAGTTCTGCCCCTCGGGTTCACCAGAAAACTGGTGCAAGAAAGTCCCTGGGTGAGGTTTAGAGAGGGAGGGGCTGTGTGCAGGGGACTGCTGCCTGCCAGTGTCACAGGCACACCGCGGGCCGTCCTGGAAGCTTTGTTCTTTGGACCTCAGATGTTTGTCTTCCTTCCCCAAAGGGGAAATTCCATCGGGAGTATTTCCTGATGGAAATAGAAAAACCGATCCTTGTACCCTTGCGGAAAGCTGTAAGGAAATAGTTATCCCAGCGGCCGGCATCTCTGAATGAGGCTGCAGGTCACCACTCGCTCACCCGCCCACCTGCTCCCCCCTCACCAGCCCCTCCCAGCTAGAGACTGTGCTCAGGGCTGAAGATCCATTCTAGACCCCCCTCGGCTTTCAGAAGCATCTTCCTTT